TACTCACGTGAGTTTTCGAACTGTTGGGTTTACAGGAACTGGGGAGGAAACAGGAGCTCATGATAACAAGAAAGGAAAACAACACACTAATATTTGTAGACTATTTTATTGTGATTAATAAACAGGTCCAGAGATGTTCATAAAATAATGAATTTCTCTGAAGTAATGTATTCTTGTGCTTACATTTATAATATAAATTAACTACATAAAGAACAAATACAGTAATATCCCTTGAAGAGTAAGTCAAAGTAAATTTACGTTTTACCATAATAGATACTAAATAGTAATTCTTCTTTTTAGACTTTTGATCCTTAAATACAAATGGAAGGAAAAATTCTGACATTCTTTTTTTCATTCTTTCAATTTTAAGGAAAAGGAACACGTCCTAGAACTTTGGCAGATGGTATCACAGGAATTGGAGCGACTTCAGCAAATATACCAGGAACACATGACAGAAGCACAAATTCATATTGCGGAAAGGCAGAAGCAAAAAGTAACATACTGATATATGTGCATTAAAATAAATTAAAATGAAGACAACCATTTTCCCATTAACTCAAGATTTCAGGGATGGCCGGCTTTTTCACTCAGAAGTGTTTTTATTTTGTATAGTCTTTGAGAAAAATCATAGACGTGACCATGTCATACCAGAGGACAGAGATGAACTTTTCAGGCTATTTTGAGGTGGGAGAAGGGGTGTCTTTGTTTTCTTTTTGATATTAACGGAAGGAGTGTGAAACACAAAAGATGTATTTTGAAAGCCTTAGGTTGCTCAAGTTTGTCTGTGTTTAAAAAAGGTCCTGTGAGCTCATGTAGGCTCCCAGGATCCAGCCCCCCCACTGTCTTCAAAAGGTTTGAAACCTGAATACATATTAGAAAACGGACACAGTTTGCTTGATTTTGAAGTCTGCTTCTGGATTTTCAAAGATTTGTTGCAGGATTAGCTGTGAGTATTTATTCAACTTGTATGTATACTTCATGCACTTAAATCTTGTTGAAGAAATATATTGTGTTCTATCACAGTCTCTCATAAGGTATTTACCTCTATCACATGCAAACACAGAATATTAGAAGAAGAGATACTGTAGACCATTCCTGCCTTATGCTATTGTGTGATTTCATTTGAATAAATTGGCTGACTGTAAAATCTGGACCACAATCACTAATAATGTATAAAATGTAATAATAATATTTAAATATTTATTATATTATGTTTGGGCATTTATTTTTATGTTGATAAATCCTGTAGTTTAATTCCAGTGTTCTGTATTATCTTCTTTCTAGGATCAATTGACAAGCTTTCAACAGTTAACAAAACAACTGCATTTAGCCAATGAAAAAACTGAATCAGTAAGTGAAATATTGAAATTCTAATAACTTAAAATTATTTTGGACAAGTTATAATAGCAGAAAAATATAAAACAGGAATACACATTTTCCAAACAGATATAACTTTTCATAAAGGTATGTCTAACTTTTTTTACTTGCATACCTTATAAGCTGTATTAATTATATACAGTGGGGCAAAAA